ATTGAACATGATCGATGTACTTTATTCACTGGTGGGTGTAAATCAACGATTTGATCGACTAGCACTTGATCCTCTCTATATTCATCATCTGAATTTAATGGTTGAATCAATGCTTACGAATAACTTTTCAGTAGGCAAACAAGTTCTTGATAGAATTTGTGAAGAAATTTTGCCTCGAATTAATAATAAAATAAACAAACTCATTGTTGATCGATATTCTATAGAACGTGTATTTCGTGTTGTTGTCTATCCTCAACTTTATTCATTAACATTTGCCACTTTTCAACAAGTTACACTTTTACCATATTGAACAGGTGTATTGTTTTTTAACTTGCACTGATTTGATCAACAAAACACTTCAGTACATTGAAAGTGATACAAAACTTTGTTATCTTCTCACTGATCAAATCACACATCTTAATATTCATATCATTGATGATATAACAACAGAACGAGATAATGAAAATTAATCAAATTTATTTGGATTAATATTATCCATGAGTAAACATCTAACTGATTTGACTTTTAGTCAATGGTTGTGTCATAAAAAGTCACCAATTTCAATATTTCATATGCCATCAACAAGTTGTATTTCTTCAACGCTCACTAAATTGAATATTGATGTCAATACTTGTGATGATTGTCTTTATCTTCTTGATAGACGTCTTCATTCTTTATCTACATTAATATTCTTAAAATTACCGTTCCATTATCCAATATTGATAACACAGTAAGAATACATTTAATTATTCGATACGAATAAACATTAAATCAGAAATGCATCGTTTAATTCTTTTTTTTTTCTTTGTAGAAACAACTTTCCAAACTCAAATGTTTCGCATTAATTACATATCCTCGAACATATTTTTATGACAGTCGAGTTGTGCCCTTACTATGTCGAATGCCAAATCTTGAAGAATTAACATTATGTCTATCGATAATACGAACTGAATCGACTTATATTGACGGTATTCATTTATATGATGAAATTCTTAATCATATGCCACAATTAAACAAATTTATTTTCAGTATAAACACTCTTGTGTTCAACATAGTTTTATCAAAAGAGGATATCAACAAATTGGTTCATATACTCACGACAAATCAACAGAAAAAGGAAGCATATGTCATGTCTATTCATTTCTATATGAATTTCATAATTTTTTCAATATGACATCTCATTTTCAAGGTGGTATGTTTGATAATGACTGATCTAGAAGATCCTTTTGAATATGGACTTTTTCAAATCATCTCGCATTCTTTTCCTTTTCTTCGAAAACTAGCTGCATGTAATTATCAACCACAAACAAGGAAGCAATATTCATCTCCAATCATCACTTTTCCTCATCTTATCATTCTTGATCTTCAAAGGGCAAATATCGGTTATGCTGCTCAATTTCATTATTACACAAAAATTCATCTGTCTTCTTTGTTGGAACTTACAAATACATAGGAATCACTGGCAATGGCAACAGACAATTTTACTAATGATGCGACACGTCTCACTGGTGCTCGTTTGCAATCTCTTGTTATATAGGATTCGTATATTCGTCCAGAAAATTTTCATACATATTTTCCTTCATGTAAAATATAATTTGTTTTAAAAATTGTACCAATAAAAAAAATACTTGAATAAAATTGGTTACTTATTTTGTTTTATGATGACCTGTATTGACTATAGAAATGAGCAAGTATTATTCTAAATCATAAGAATATGGTTGATTAATTTCATTAGAGATATAGACTATAGATCATTTGTATGTCGATTAGGTATTCAACATAGTCATCTACATTTTCCTAATATTGCTCAAGTAACAAATTTGACTGATGAAAAGAATGATCATGATAGTACAAAAATATTCAAATGTTTATTTTTTTTTTGGCAGCTGGATCACACAAGAACAGTATGAAAGACTATTAAAGACTACGTTTAGTTAGTTAGTTGTTGTCCATGATTGACATGATTTATCTTTTTATTTTTTTCTATCATTTCTGCTTCTAAAGTATTTGTTGTTAAACCACAATAGTTTTGTTTTGCTATTTCAGATTTCATTTGTCCTTCTTTTTCTTTAATTTTATCGGAAGACTCTTCCATTTCATTTGCTTTCTCTGTTGTTTTAATAGAATTGATTGTTAATATCAAATTGTTCGAAATCAGTTAAAGCAAGGCCGAATATCTAATTCACAGAAAAAGAATTAGATATGATAACAAATACAGAATCAAATACTTTTACTTCTGTTTCTAACGGAACGTTAATTTTTTCACTAGTACAATTTAGATGAACATTTTCGTTTATTCTTTGAAGGCTATCATATAGAAAATAAACGAAATATGAGTTAAAAACAGAATTCAGTGTTTTTTAGCGTTTATTTTCAATTTCCTATCGATGAACAGCTTCATGAAGTTTATTACGTTCATCTTTAACTGTATCATAATCAGCTTGTTGAAGAACTTTTCAGATAATTCCCGATTTAGGTGTGGGTGTGGTGGATGGGTGAATGTAGGTGTGAGTGTGAATGAACAGAAGATCAACACCTACACCCACACCTTACTGAGATAGAAAGAAAACAGTTTTTTCTTTATTCAAATGACATCCCATTCGGAGAACGGAAAAATTGATGTTGAATAACTCGATTTTTTTCTTTTCTCGCTCACATTTTGTGTCATAAAATTGCCTTGGAAGTTAAAGTAATGAAATAAAAAAAAAGGAATGACGTTTTTTTCTCATTAAAATGAAAAAAACCAGTAGGAAACAACATTTTTGATTGCTTTCAGGTGCGTTCAGAGTTGCATTTGGATTTCTCACTCTCGTCGATGTTTTACATGTCCTTCACTATCTTATATCTAAATCTGTTACTAAAGTCTTAGCTCTCGATCGATGGCTGAGCATGACTTCAATATTATGCATCAACAGCATTTATTCGTTAATTGTCGAGCGAACCATTTTATTTTGATTCTATCGAACGATGGTTGATACTTCACTACAAACCAGTCTCCTTCATCTGAAACAAGCAGTTCGAATTAGTTTGCCTTGATAGTGATTAGCAGTAGTTGTACGATCATATTGATAAGTTAAGCTGGTTGATGTTTTCCGTAGTTTACATGATTTATATTGCACTGATTTCTTTGATCTTCGTTAACTATTCCTAAGACGACCTGCAAACAATCATGTTAAGTGAATTATCTCAAGACTAATTCATTTAACTTCACTCAATGAAGCTAATGCTTACATTAGAAACATAATGATTTTTATTTTTATTCATAAATGCTGGAATTATAGCTTATTTGAGATTAGGTGAGATAATGCCTCTTTTTTTGTCTTTTAGCCCATAAGTGAGATCAATAATGGATAATTATACGTTACAAAATGAAATTCTCATGAATCCTCCGCACAACAGAAATATGAATAACGAGAAATTCGATTTGCTTTTTGCAGAAATGTATTAATACAAAAGATGCGCTAATGATCATCGAAGTAAAACAATGCCTTTGAACCAAAACGATTGGATATTTGTGGTTGTCTATCTTGATCTTGATCCTTCGAAAAGACAATCGTTCAACATTCGATTGAGTAATTTTGATAATGAGATTATCGTGGTTGATTTTAGTCATAGAGATATTGAACGATGTCAAATATATCTTAAGCAACAAACTGATAAAATGCAACAAGTTTTTCTCTTTGTCAATAATCGGTTTGCTACATTTGACTTTATTTCGTCCATACATGATTTACAACAATTACATTTGATCTGGGTAATTCATACTGATTCAAATTACGGCGTTCATACGCAGTTTCTAGAAAAAATGAACAATAAAACAAATGGAAAGTAAAATTCAACAAGGTAACCGAACATCTCATCTTATATACATAAATAAATGAATACATTTAGCTCATCGAAATCCACTCGGAATGGGAAACACTATTTCAACGAACAATGATTCATGATTCATGGTCCAAAAATTCCTTAGAGTGTGATGAACATATCGAACAATCAATCTGAAACAACAACCGAACAGTATCATCCCAGCTTTGAACGGACATATACATTACCGATAATAATTGATTTATTTCTGAATATGGAAAATGTGGACAGTGAATTATCAAAACACGATTGGATTCAAAGATGCAAAAAATTCTACAATGGTATTGAAGCAAAGATGAAAACTTTATTAGAATTTGAAGAAACGTATGAACTAAAAGAATCTCTTCGATGGTATACCAGATCTTCGTTTATATTTTCTCTATTTAACAAAATATGTCGACAACAAAATATTGAGTGGCTTATTTTGTATCGTTTTTTTCTGGTCGATTTATACAGACAACTTGAACAAGAACAATCAAATAATCAATACATTTCCACAACGACATATTATCGAGGTAAATGTATGTCAGATGATGAATTGAAATCTTTACAAGAATCATATAATCTAAATCGAAATTCATTGACGAATACATGTGATAATTTTTATATTATTGCTAATACCTTTTTCTCGACAACGAGTAATCGCCAAACAGCTCTTGCAGGTTTTTCAGGTCAAATAACGAAAATGATCAGAAAAAACTTATACATTGCTATAGAAGATGACTTTTCTAGTGACAATAGTTATTATTTCGAAATGCAAAGTGAATATGGTTATCAATCCGTGCTTTTCGAAATTCAAGTAGATCCGGATTCAACATATCCTTATGCAAATATATCTCACATGAGCGAATTGCCATGGGAAGATGAAACATTATTTGCAATTGGTAGTATATTTCAAATAATAAATATTGAATACAGCGAACAAGGTTATGCTTTTATAATTAAAATACGATTGATTAATAAGATATAAAAACACAATAATAACAAACATATGTCATCGTTGAGTCTTCAAATTCTAAAAAACTGGATTGTTAATAAATAATTCGCTTCATGATGTAACACGTGGAAAAATTTTTTTCAAACATTTATCGATCAATTTTCATTGTCAAATATAAGTCTTATCGTATCATGTTATATTGGACTCGTTTATCTATCGTACATTGAAAATGATATCAACTCAGCATTAAAGTACTATCAAGATGCTCTAAAACATTTAAAAAATGATCCAGCTATTCTCGCAACTTGCTATAACTTCATAGGTTTACTTTACGAGAAAGCATATGGAGATGTTTCAAGAGCATTAAAATATTATAACAATGCCTATGAATTAAAAACTCAAATTCCATAAGATAAGTTTTCGAGTTATCTTTCTTTCCAAAATATAACAATTGTAAATGTAGCACAAGTTTATTGCAAACAAAATCAGATATCTTTGGCTTGCCGATACTACGAACAATTATTAACATTTGATAATTCTCAAAATTTTAGTCGGTATAACAATCCGTACGCGAGCATACTCGAATTTGTGGGATGTAACAATTTCAATAATGTATCATTTGAACGATTCATGCAAATGAAAGCATTTGTTGATTACAGTGCTAAATATTTACCTAAGAATTATATGGAAATTACTCATCATTATATTAACATTGCCAATTGTCAATATACTGAATTGCAAATTGATTATTTTTATAAATTACTCGAAATACGGGAAAAGTACGAACTTGAAAATATGGATTCGGAACGTTTTAACAAGGAGATAATTGATATATGTATTCGAATTGCAGACACATATTATTGTGAAACACGATCTGAAAGGAGTGTTGAAGTGTTTAGGGGTAGAAATTTGCACCCACTCCTCCCTCCCTCCCCCCCACAGACTGTGACAAACAAAATCCATACCCATCACAGACCATGACAGAGAACCCTGGTACCAATCACAGATCGTGACAGAGAAACTGTAGTTGTAAAGCATCAGATAAACGATTAGCTACAAATGTGTCGCAAAGGAACGGAACAAAAGGATTTCCATTTAATTAATAACAATAGATCCATCGTGTTTCACATTTTTAATCCCGCAAGGGATTGCGCTAAGAGCTTTTTAGAAAAGAATGAATACGTTCATTCAATTAATTATTTAATAAAAGCAATCAGACTATATGGTTATTTCGACAACGTGCCCATATGGGATTTTATTAGACTGCAATATTTGCATAAACGTATTGGTTATTTATATGGTGTGAACGGCTATATAGTGCTTCAACAGATATGGTATGAAAAATTATTTGTTTTTTCAGCATCCCTTGACAACTTTTACTCTTCAATTGAAAGAGAACGTTATAAGTTTGAGAACGAACAAATGTTTATAAGAGTATGTGGTGCAGAATATAAGCATGATTTAATATGGGGTACTTATGAATTTGTCGCAGATGAAAATTACTCACGAAAACGTGAAGAAATTATCCATGGAATTCATTTAATGAATACTGGCAATTATAAAAGTGTAGTTCAGTGGTTTAAACAGGATCAAAAATATAACAATCGAAGTGCACCAATCCTTTGGTGGTAATCAGTGTAGACAGTAGAAGGGTGTGAGTGTGGGTATGGGTATGGGTGTGAGTGGTGTGGGATGGGTGTGGGTGGGTGTGGGCGTGGGTGTGGGTGTGGGTGGGTGTGGGTGTGGGTGTGAGGTGTGGGTGTGGATCTTCTCTTCACTACGCCCACACCCACACCGACATTCACACCCAAACCCACACCCCACACCGACACCCACACCACACCCACCCACAACCACCCACACCCACCCCCACCCACACCCACCCCCACACCCACACTCACACCCACACTTCACATCCACACCCACACCCTTCTTTTAATGATATAATTGTGAATATGTACTAATATCAATTCTTCTTTTTTTTTAAATATTTAGTCTATTACCCCATCGTGCATCATCAAGAGATGGTCGTCTTCATATTAATACTGCTCCGGTTCGTCTTCGTCGTGCTCAAAATGATGACCATGGAAGACATGAATATGGTCATGTTGCTATAGCAACAATACTTTATATGAAAGATTTAGCTTCAATATTTGACAATGATTGTGTTTTTTATTTATCTCAAGATGATAGGTGTAAAGTTCCATTAGGTATATTTGCGGCTAAAATTCAAGCATCAATGTTAATGCATATGAATTACCGAATACGTTTACCAGGTCATGTTTGGATAGTTGTACCTCGACATCAATTAATACCAAATGTATATGCAGCATGTCTTTTATCTGAAGATTGAGATTTAGATTATTCAGGTCCAACATATATAGCCATACATTCAGCTAAACATGATCTATGAACTGCTGATTCTTATGGATTAGATTTTGATCGTCTTGTTAGTTTAAAAGAATTTGAAAATGTAGCACGTGATGGAACTGGACAAGTTAAACCAATTGTTATTATTATTATTGATGGTGGTCCCGATGAAAATCCATGTTTTTCAAAAACACTTGTTGCAAGTGTTAAAAAATTTAAGAAATATAGTTTAGATGCACTTTTTAGTCTTATACATGAATAATTTTATAAATTTCAATCTTAAAAAAGAAAGATTTTTGAATATATTTTTTTTCTGAGTCCTGGGGAATTAGCTTATAATATAATTGAACGCCGTATGGCTCCATTATCTCATGATTTAGCTGGTCTTATATTACCACATGATTATTTTGGTTCACATTTAAATGATTTAGGTGTAACAATAAATATTGATTTAGAAAAATTAAATTTTCGTAAAGCTGGACAAATCTTAGCTGAAACATGGAATCAATCTGTTATTGATGAATTTCCATGTGTTGCTGAATATATTAATCCACCAGTGACATCAGAAGATGAACGTCGACAAGTTGATATTAAAATTGTTATGGACGAAATTTTACGACAGTAAATTTTATTTTATTTTATTTTTTTATTTAATTCATTTTATTTTTTAAATAGAATTTTTGTTGAAGAAGAAGCAGAAGAAGGATATGAATTTCGTGTTCGTGCATCGGATGAATATTATCAAGAAAATGTTCGTGCACTACAAGAAAAAATTGGTGAACAACCAAAATATAATATTAATGAATATTGGTGTGCTATGCATGTTTTACAAACACAATATACATTATAAATAATTCGTTGTAATTCAGTTGAATGTTATGGAGCATGGCGTTCAAATTATGATGAAGTATTTCCTCATCGATTTTTACCATCATCTGCACCATTTGAATGTACATCATATGGTATTAAAATGGCAGAGAGAGATTATCAAAAAGGACAATTTTATGAATCATTATTTCAACGAATTCAATTTCATGGTGTTGTCATTCAACATACACAGGTTAAAAGAAAAACATTTTTATTCATTATTATTTATCAACAATTGAATAGAAAAACGACACGTTTGATTGACTAGAAATTGAGATATGCACGACATGGATACGTTCTTGATTCCGATCATGTCTAACGGTGTCTGATACAGAAACGATATGTTTTACTGCTAACACGATACGAATCCGTGAGCACTAGATCTACCTGTCATCATGATATACTTTCGTCATATAGGTTAACAAAAACAAAAGGAATCATGATAGAAGTAAGATCTAACGATTCAAGTAGAAGATGCTTAATCAATTTTACTTCTTGATTTTTTTTGCATACCACCAATATTTGCTGATAAGGACATCAATCTACTCTATTCAATTTTTTATTATAAAACGTAGCGAGCAAAGTTCCACTCATAGTTAGTCGTAATTCGAACACAGATATGGAATGAAATCTGTAGCTTTATTCTGCTTCTAATGATAACTAGAATGATTTCAATTCAATCAAGACTTCAATCGACCTAGATGAGACCTATTCATATCTCATTGAGTACCTAAGAATGACGATACAAGTGATTAGATAGGTCTAGACATGAACAAGATTGTATCTCATTTTTTTTTTACAATAACAAATAATAAACATTGTTGCAATTTCGATTTTCAGCAAACATGAATGAGACTCATGCCATCAATATCTAATAATAAGAAACAAAAATAAACTTAATTGTTTGTACTTGTTAACACATGTTATTGACTAATCTAAATGGAAACAAAAAAGTCCTTTACCAAGCCATTAATTCCTTCTCACTGCTCACTTTATATCACTAAAAAATAACAAGATTTTTTTTTCAGAATGAAATGTTACCATTTGATTATTGTTGTTCATCAGTAAAAAAAGAATTAAAAAAAAAGTACATGTAAAATATGTAATCAATATATTCCATCAGCATATCGTATGAAAAATAGAGTCCTGCACGGGTACTACTTTTCGCACCCGGACCCGGCCCGGCTCATTTTTTTCAAACCCGGAATCCGACCGGACCCGGTCATCTTCCACCCGGAACCGAACCGGACCCGGATAGCTCTACCCGGTACCCGACCGGACCCGGCCCAGCCTTGAAATAGTCAGCACTTGATTGTTATTGTCAAAATTATATTCACTTTTCAAACTTTTATTTCATATGGCAAAATATACTATTATTTTAATTTCATCAAGTAACAATTTGTACCCGGACCACAGGTCCGGGTCCGATCGGGTGCCGGGTATCCGGCCCCGTTGCAGGACTCTATCCTAGAGTGTAAAATACTTTTACTTGTTAAGATGTCATCGACTACCGGTCGGGTACCGGGTATGCTCAAATTCTGCACCCGACCCGGCATTTTTTTTTATACCCGGCACCCGAATCGACCCGGCAAATTTGTACCCGGACCACAGTTTCGGGTCCGGTCGGGTGCCGGGTACCCGATCCCGTTGCAGGACTCTAATGAAAAATCATTATAAAATTTATGCACAACATCATGAAGATCTTGATCATAATCAAGATGATACATTAACACTACCAGCAGCAATAACTGATATAACAACAAATTCAAATGAAACTCAATCAACAACAACAGCAACAGCACCTGTGCTTAAAACAGACATGTTAGATTGGCTTCGATCAAATTTTGATGGCTGTGATTTGGGTCCAATATCAACTCAACTTGCCAATGATCGTGTTACACGTTCAATGAAAAAATTATATGTTCAAGAAAACAAAGATGAACATGACAATAAAGATTGTGTGTATGTAGAATAAAAGTATTCAACATGTTTATTCTCTACAACATATTCACTTTTAGTGATTATTTAAGTTTAATTTCTTGTAGTCTTATCTTTTTTTTTTTAGCTCTTTTTGAATTTTCACATTAATTTACATGTAGCTTTGTCAGCGTTTGGGTGGTTAATATTTATGATGTTGATAATAAAACTTATTTGATTAAATTTTTAAAGTAAAAGTTTTCAATATTGTTATTATAATCATAGTTGCGATTATGTAGACTGGATGATAAAGAAATTTGATTCAGGTATATGTATACGTACAACTGAATTCGACTAACCAATAGGATTACTCTCGTCTGTTTTTGCGATGAAAGTAAAGAAAGAAAGAAAGTTTTTTTTCTTTTCGAATAGATAGTTAATTAAAATATAAATTTATCTTCGAAAACCTTATATCTCGTCAATTAGAATCTATTAAATAATTAAGTATTCATCGTATTATTGATCTACAGCCGTTCAAATTTTCTCGCTATATAGTTCAACACTTCTTTTCAATCATATTTCACAAAATCTAGCTGAAATTAGAGATTATGTGTAGTTGATATACGAGCGTCCATGTATGAAATCCAATTAAGAATAATTTTTCATTTACATTGATTTGAATTAATTGTTATCACCGTCAATAATGTCTTGCATATTTTTCAATTGAAAAAATCAAAGAGCAATGTTAAACTTTACAGATCAATGGATAGACGCAGTGTATTTTTCGTCAATTGATTGCTTCTTTCTACCATCAATAATTAGTTTATGGTTGGCAGAGAAAAAAATCAATCTAGGCACTGTCAGTTGCCTTGACTCGATGCAGTTGAGTAAACAATAATTAGCGCAAGATGATTATTCGTAAAGTATCTGTTTACATGTTCTATTACTTTTTAGTGATATTTTCACATTTTATCACTCATTAAATCACACACGTATTTTTCAATCATTCTCAATCATAAAAATGACCTTGCATAATGAAGATATATGTATATATAATTATTTATCTTGTTTTCATTCAGTCATACTATTTCTGATCTATCTAAGCATATGGAGGTATTTGCAATCAAAAAGTTCCTTACATTAAAAATCACTTTCATTTTCTCATTTCGACAATTTATTATTATAGATCAAAATAGATCTTTGAATCCTTTCAATTCTTGACAAACTTTCATCAAAATATGGCTCAAAACAAGTTCCGTCTATTTGTCTATTACTTGGCTATATTCACCCTGAGTTTAGGAGCATTTTATTCATTTCATCACTTAACACGTAATCAACCTGAAGATTATATGTTTATGCAAAAATGTATTCTCTGTGCCATTTCAAGTTTCTTTAATATGTTTGTATTGTACTATCATTTTACCCACGCACCACACCCGAAATTTGTTATCTTACCACGTCGTCGATTTGTAATTTATACACATATTGTTTCAGGTGTCCTAGAATTTACTAGCTGTTGGGCAGCATTTCTTACTGGTAACAAATATATTGCTACTATTGCTGCTCTATCAGCTATTTTGGGTCATGTACCTTCGGCCTATTATCAAACATCAATTGTTTTTGGTGCTAAAGCTTTGATGGTTTCTGGATATCTATTTGCTATATCACTTCATCTATTTTCTGCATTACATCTATTTATGGAACCAACATCAGTTTATTGGTTATTGAATATGTTTCTTGTTCATAATGTTTATGTCTGGTGTCGTGTATTCTATTTCTTTTTTGGTTTTACTGGTTTATTTAAAGATACTTTATATACTAATGCAATATTAACATCAGGACTTATTTTATTTCCAGCTGTTCTTGGTGTTTCAGCGAATATATTATTTTTGGGTTATGTTGCAACTAGTATTCTTCTTTATTTTGCTATTGTTCAACCAAGTGAAGAAGAGTGTGTACGCTATGTAAATGAATGTACACGAGATCTTCTTGTTAATAAAATGGCTCATAATGCTTGGATAAAACAACAGGAACGATTAGCAAAATTGGCTCACAATGACCAATTGTCCGATCAACAACGAGCTAAACAAGTTTTTGATCAATTAGATGAAAACAAAAATGGAGCTCTTGATAATGAAGAAATGACTCGTTTATTAGAAGAATGGAAAGCTGCATCAAGTTTTGTCGATCGATTTTCACGTTGGTCAAAGAAACATGATATGTCATTTGAATTATTCTATAGAAATATTTGGCGTCTTGGTGAAACATCGATTGGTCATATACAAGAAGGTATAAAACGACAAGGAATGGCAAGAGCACGTTTCGTTTTTGATTGTTTGGATACAGACAAAAGTGGACATATTGATAATCTTGAACTTCAAAAACTCTTAATTCAATGGGGTTTACCAGAAAATGAAGTCGAAGATTATCTCACTGATGATGATGATAAACAATTTTCATTTGAAGAATTCTATGAAAAACTTAAACCAATTTGGGATTTTGCCTATGAAAATATGTCTGTTCGTGATATGGGTCAAGTTGTCCAACCACCAGATCAAAAGTCACAATAGTTAGAAAGAAAAGTCAAAACAAGGAATATTTCTCTACAAAACGAAGATATCATACTCATTGAACATCTTTTATTATATCATGATTTTTATTTTCATTACTAACAAATTTGATGAATAGATACTGATTTATTCTAGCATGACATTTCTAAACTAGCAATTAAATTTTCAAAATTATTTGGTCATATCAATTCTAAATAAAATATCTTTCAAAAAAAAAATCAATCGAACTCGTCTTTTTTTGTTTTCGTATTTGGATCTTGTAGAATTGTAATTGATTTCTGATTTTGTTATGTTCATATATAAGATATTCAATGCATAGATACAACTATGAGTTATTCATTGATGAATTGGTCATTTTTATATGTCATATATGAGTGATAAATATTTAATAAGATCGTAGAAAAATAATCAAGTTTTGAGAAATCCATCGATGATTAATTGTACATTTGCTTATCACTAAATTTATTGTTTGGTTTTCTTTTTTTCTAAAGATAAAATAATCCAGTGAATGGACTTTTGATATGATATGAACAGAATTATTCAAATATGAATAAATTGCTGATAATAATCCATCATGGAGTGTTATTAATTTTTTTATTTGATATTTTCATATGAATAAAAATAAAAAAAACTGACAACCAAAAAAAATAAACATAGTTTATGGAAACAAAAATGAATTATTTTATCATCAATAGATATCAGCCCCTCGATCACAAGACAGTGATCATTTGATGTTTGTTTTTTTTTGTAATCAACTAATCATCTTTGCAATCTTATGATCGTTCTAGATGATTGAGCACGAGTTATTAACATTCAACAAAAGTCACATTTTACCAGTATGTATCTTCATATGATGTACAAATACGAAGAATTTTTGTTTTTATTTTTGACTGTTAAAGGTATCTATTCATTATCACCATACGTATATTCAAATGATGGTATTTTTCATGGATGAATTCATTTAAAACATCTAATATTTCATCTGGTTTTTTAATGATATTATTAGAAAAAGAATTGATAAAGAAAAAAAAGGAGTGTAGTTGAAATAAGATAATGCAAAAACAATTGGGTTTGATCAATCAATTGATATATGTTAGTTAGTCATATTTGATTTATTCTAAGCTAGAAAAATATTAGGATGAAATGAAGAAGAAATATTTTTCAGACAAAAAAAAACTTAATTTAAAATGATAATCATATGATTAATATGAGACAAAAACAATATTCATATTTGATTTAGTTCTTTTTATTTGAATTCTTCTGTTTATTTTCATTTTCTTGTTGATCTTTTCTAAGTGCAACAAATGTCCAAGTCGCTGCCATTGCATCACCAAATGCAAGTAGAAGTAAATTCTGAGGTGAAATACCAGTTATAACCATAGAAAACATGAACAATGCAGCTAAATATCGCATAATCACGAAAAATTTAAAGCAAATCATAGCTGTTTCTCAAACCATGAGTAAATGATTAGCACGAAGAATAGCAGCAAGTAAACCAGTCATACGAACAAAAGTATCATTATCTGCTTTCCAACTCAATATAGTTAAAATATGATGAGGAAAAAAGCCCATGACAACGCCGTCCACAATAATTAAGTAACTACCAAATACAAGCATACTGATCTTAGTGCGACTATAAGAAGGAGTAGTAATTGAAGATGACATTTTCCTTCAAATTATTCAATAGATACAAAGATAATAACTATCAATTTGAGATGAACAAATGTATATCTGAAAAAAAGAAGAATATGTAAATAATTTCAATAAAATTTTCTTAGTGTGACAAAAATAATTGTCAAATCTAATCAAATGGTTTATTAGTCAGTGATATAAATAGAAAGAAAATCGACTTTTTTTTCAGCAGAGAAATTATCAATACAAATCTTAATTTTCATATGCTGAATGAGATAGGATCGATTTTTGTCAAAAAAATTTTATCATAGAATTCATTGTAAAGAAAAAACCCAACAATGTTGCATTTATCTGTTTACTTTTACTTCGTTATTTAACATGAGGTTATTTGACAATGATATGATTTAAAGGTTATCAGTAAAGATAAAAGTGAATCGTTAAATTACGCTTACCATGCTAATGAAGAACATACCGTGATAATGGCATTTTCTTTTCTAAATTGATGGGTTTTGTTTTTCTTCATTTGTATACAATTATTCCTTACACAACGAGAAAAAAAAGACGTATCCATATCGCTTCAGTGATCGATATTTTCATTAAAAACGATATGAGAAATATGATCATTACGAGAGGATGAATAAAGATGTATGTTTATTTTCTGTTCTCAATATATGACTATATATGGATTCGCTGTTTTTCCTTTGAATAAATTTGTTCGATAGAAGTATGAAATATTAATATTAAGATATCAAATCGAATGATTTATTAATCATCAAAATCTAGCATTGCTCTGCAAAAGATAAGAGTTTGAATAATTCTAATCTTAATGATAAATCGTCTCAAAGAAAAAAGTTTATATATTTGTTAATTAAAAAATTTCATTTATGAAAAAGTAAATAATAAAAAAGATAATCACGACTGAAATTAACCATTCGAAATAGTTTATTTTATTATATATTAATAATTACATTCATCGTGATATAGAAACTAATCAACGTAAATCTAAACTCAAATGTCATTGTCATTATCACTATGATTATATCAGTTGATTTAATGTTTCTAAAACTTTGATATTCTAGAAAGCTTTCGATCGAGTCATGAAGACAATATTTATCAATCCTATTTCGGTTTTTTCTTGAATATATTCATTCTATTGTGTTCGACAATGATAATAGTTTTCAAAAATTTGACTTGTTTAACAGTTTGTTCAATGAATTAGAAATGTTTTCTCAATTGATCGATAATTACTTTATAAACCTCAAATGTAACAATAATAGTAATAATTAATAACAATATAATGTAGTTTAATATCCAATTTTACTAGGCTTTATGTGAAATTTTCGACCATTTTACGGCCATCATCAGCACTATAAAACATCGCTTGTGATCTTACTCCCTAAAAAAGTTTTATTTCGTACAACAATGATTATAAAATGGAAAAGTATAATAAATCAATAACTGGATGGACAAAAGAGTGTAGATGTGAGTGCGTATGTGGGCCTTGTCTTTATCTCCATCCACACTCATACCCTTGTTCTAAACGAATAGATTGATGAACAAATCTTCGTTTTGTTTGAAAAGTATCATTTTATGATTGAATCAAGTATCTTGATGTTAATGATATTCGGTAAAATATTTTAGAGTAAAGTATTGTTTTGCATTCATAAAAATTAGAAAAAGATACATTATTTTGACAAATTGAATAATAGTATTCATTTTTATTATTTCGCATCGAAATATAAATTTATCTTGTTTGTTTTCTTTCGTTGATTCATGTTTATTTACAATCTTTCTGTACACTATTTTATTAATTCTTCTATTCTTTTTTCGATTTTTAAACAGAATACAAACATTTAATGTTTTAGTCATCAAAATATATGAATAAACATTATCAACATAGATATACAACAAAATCGAATATGTTATAAATCTCATCAATTATTTTTCTATTATTTCTATTCGTCTCATTCATATTATCATTAGTTATGAATGATTTTATCGTGAACAGTGTGTTTTGTTCATTTCTTGCTCGGATTTTTCTCTCATTGCGTGCATTTCTTTCTCATCTATTCGAATTAGATCCGATTATTCGATACATTTTACAAGTAAAATAGTAGCTTTCATCTCAATTACATCAAACATCGCTTAAAAAAAAGTGAGGACAAGACATCAATATCATTTCCTAACTCTCATATTCATACTTACTCATCCCAAAACAAGACATACAGATCTATTTCGAATTGTAGTCATATTTTGTCATCATATGAAAATTCAAATAGAAAGAATATTGATCGATATCAACTAACAACTAAGATAAGCAAGTTTACTCATTTATTTCCTTGAGACTTTTCTATTGATTATAATCAAGTTTGCTCTCTGTAGATACTAATAAATAGCGTTGTTTTTTTTCTTGTTTTCGCTTAAAATAGTATAAAACTGATAGTTTTATATCGTTGATTTAAATATACTGATATCAAATTTTTATTGATAATTGAATGAATGAAAGAGGCAAGAGACACAACTGAATAATATCTTCTGATTATAAATGATCATTTCTATGATTGTAAATAATGAACAAGTAAAAGAGTAAATATTCGATCAAAATAACACACTCCGAAGAAAATATTGCTCAAGCAAAGCATAAAACGCGAACAGATACTTGCTTCATAAGTGAATAGCTTTCTCTCTGATTACTATTCACTTAGCTTCATTAAGAGAAATATAGGAACAAACGTCTTTTCTTTTTTCGGTTAACTATTGACTATTTTGATTTTGATAGAAAACGATGATATAACATGAAAAGACATATTAGCTGTATTCATTCATCCATAAAAATTTATATCACTTATTTGATTTTATTTCTCCTCACCTGAAGGATACAGAAACAGTGTCGTTACCTTGAGAAAATGATACAGTCAAAAATATATCGAAAAATATCATGTTGAGATATGATCGATGAATTTCTTGCAATAAGAACGAAATATATGAATATTAATAATGTCGAAAATAATGGATTGAAGAAAGAAATATCAATGATTTAGATCGAGTTCAAGTTCATGACTAACTCTAGAGAATAATGATAAGTACTGGAAATTTATGTTCATTTATTTGTAATGCATTCATTTCATTAAATGTCTCTATTGTTTATCATCATTTTTGCCATCAGTCATATCAAAGATAGATAGACGACAATAGATGGCTGTTTTATCCACGGATATATTATTGTAGAATATACGATTTATTTTGTTTGTTTTTTCGATTTTACTGCTCATATATTACATAAGAATGACGATTATCTACGTCTTCTCTTGACATTGAACAAAGTCTATTGATAGTCACATATTTTCTTTTTCATAGATCAGTATGTTAAACCGTCATAGCGTCGTGCTCTTTCTCAGTTTCCTGTTGCTTTTACTCATCTACGAAACATCGTAAGTTACGAATACTTCATGATTATTTTTCATCTTGATATAAGTTTATTGACTAAATGCTATTGGATTCGTAATCACTCGATTATTTGTTAAAAAGAGAATAAAAACAAGAGAAATTTAAGCATAGTAAAGATATTGTACATATTCTCTATATGTCAAAGATTATTATTATAAGTGAAAATAGTAGAGACAAGAACATGTATGTATTGATTTCTTATGAGAAGAAGAAAAAAAAAGAGAACTTATTCCGTTTCATTAATAAATATGCTCGAAAACAATAGGGAGAAAACTTTTGATTTGGTTTTTTGTTTTTGACAAATTTTGTTGAATATCGATTTGAACATGTCATATATACGATATAAATGAAATTTTATTTATATTTGCCTATTTAAGGTTCCATCTTATTGTTCTTACCTTATTCTTTCTTACTGCTTTACTAATTGTCTTCAAAGCTCCTACTTCGGAATTATGGCTTCTAGCTGTCATTACAAGTGAATATTCGATGATCTTTGCTGGGCTTACAAGTTTATTACTACTGACTAATTTCTATGCAGGCTCATTTAGTTTAGTTGGAACAATACTTGGTTTAATAGCCCTAGTTTTGTTTCTATTACCCATTATAAACGCTTATTTTATTGGCCAAAAATTACCATCTGATTTGGAAAAAGCTTTTCAACAAATGAAACATGTTACAATTAAAAACGATCAAAAACTTATTAATAGACCTTTTAACATCTTTAAACTCTTACAAACTATACCAAAAGTATCGTTTCGTACATTAACATATGTCACTTATGATGATGCTACTTTAACTTTGGATTTCTATGGATCAGTCGTAACAGGTAAACGACCTTGTGTGATTGTCACACATGGTGGTTCTTGGACTAGTGGTAACAATAAACAATTGCCAGAACTCAATAGTCATCTAGCACAAGCAGGCTATCATTGTGCAGCTATTAATTATCGTTTAGCTCCACGATGGAAATGTCCTGCTCCAATAGAAGATACTACTGCTGCCTTAACTTACTTACGTCAACATGCCAATGAATTGAATATTGATCAAAATAATTTCGTATTACTTGGTCGATCAGCTGGTGGACAAATAGCATTATTAACAGCTTACACACTTCAACAATCTAGTATCAAAGGTGTCATCGACTTTTATGGTCCAGCAGATATGATTTGGGGATATATGACACCAACTAATCCATTAGTGTTGAATTCACGACTAACATTAGCTAAATATGTTGGTGGTGATTATTTCGAAATGCCAGACAAATATGCAGCTAGTTCACCAATTGAATTTGTTAATCGGCAAACTGTACCTACTCTTATTTTTCATGGTCTCACTGATTCACTCGTATTCGATGAACATAGTCATCGTCTTGCTGCTAAATTACATCAAAATGATGTACCACATTATTATCTTGAATTACCATGGGCAACACATGGCTTTGATTACAATCTAAATGGTCCTGGTGGACAACTGTCAACCTATGCAATCGAATATTTTCTTAATGTCGTTACTAGTCGACAATAGACTTTTTTTCTAACGACTATATCGTATTGGCAAATAAACACTCACTAATCTTTGTCGTATGTCACTGTTTTCACGACTATTGCTTTATTTATTAGACTTTTCTCTATATAAAATCAATTTTTATCATATTACTATTCGTTTTGATTAATTGAAAAAACAAAATACATAACAAAAATGACTGTTTGTTCTCTCTAGCTTGCTCGAAATCGATCATATGTATTATATTATAATCAACTTTGAGTACAATACATATACTTCTTCAAATCGAATAATATAGATTGCCTTTAACTATGAAGATTTTAGTCAAGAAAATCTTTGTTTGATTTTTTACTTTGATCATGATGATGTTTTTTGTCGATCTACGTTAGTGTGAATAAATCAGTATGATTTAGAGTTTCGATGAAGAGAAAATTGTCGACATTGGTCAGTTAAAGTTTACATTGTTTTCAGATATTATTTTCTAATAATTTTAATTTGAGAAATCTCTAGAACATTTCAATGTGTTTCGGACTATAATTTTAAAGATTATGGAAATTGAGGAAGTTTTGCCATTGTTTTTGCAAATCTAAACATATTTTCATCTTTA